CGGAAGATTCTTCCTCATTGGATAGTTTTATAACTATTTTGTATAACGAAATTGTTTGAAACTGTTAATGAAATAATAATGAAACTGTTAATGAAATTGATATGGAAAAAGAAAACTAATAAATATTTTCAAAATATTTAAAAAAAGTACGAAATATAATGTGAAGATTTTCTTTACATTTCAGGTATCGAAATCGCTGAAAGAACCAACAGGGGGCCCCCAGTGCTGTTGAAACGGCCCTGCGCGCGGGGAAGGACGGGGCGGGGCGGGGCGGGGCCAGGGGCCGGCGCACTCACTTTGACGAACTCGCAGATGACGGGCATGCACTTGGCGGTGGGGTTCTTGAAGCCCACCATCACCTCGGCCTCCTGGCCCGGCACGAACCGCGTGCACGGCAGCTTGCCCATGAGGATCTGCGTCTTGGAGCGCCAGCACAGCCAGCGCGTCGTGTAGCCGTGCTTCACCAGCGTCAGCGGCTCCTGCGGGCAACGAACCTTGGGTTGGCCAAATGGTTGTTAGTAGCGGGCGGATTTTTATTAACTAAAACATCGCCAAAAGTGATCAAGAAAATGCTCCTGCGATATTTTTAAAATGCCCTAAAGGCAAAGAAAAATTGAATCGTTTATTTCAAATACCCGTCAAACGTCAAAACACAAAACACGATTCACAGACGATTATTGTTCCAGGAGGATAGACACATCGTTAGTGCATATTTATATGAAAAAAACAACATTTATCAACTCCTTTAATTAAAAAAAATATTTTGAAATCTGAAAAATTGGGAGACTTGTTCTTCGTTTTCTCGAAATGAGGAATTGGTGTTGACGGATTTCTGAAATAAATGATTCAATTGACGTAAAACATTTATCAAAACACGTTCAGTTGAAGAAGTCAAGGTTGCTTGGTTGTTAGTCATTGCTGCCGCGTCAACTACTGAGGCTATCATTTGCTAAAAAGTAGTGCATTTTTCCCCTGGGGAGGTGGCGGTGATCTCTCCCTCTGGATGGCAAATCCGGCACGGGGCTTTCCCCAAAACAGTTGTCCCTTCAGCCGCGACAAGCTCGAGGCTCCCGACCGGCCTTCCGGCATGTGTGAACACTCAAGCTCTTGGATATGTTACTCATGTATCCGAGGCTCCTTTCTTTCGTCGAAGCTCAGCTTGAAAACTTTTGGTTTGGAGTTTTAATGACATTTTATTAAAATATGCCTCCTAGATATTTGGGAGTTTTAGCGCCACGCGTAAGGCAGCGGCGTTATACACTAAGTCACGTGACGGACCTTGAAGTTTTATCGTTTTACCTTATGCCTAAGGTACGACCTTACACCTTGATAAATAGTGCTAGTCTGTCTCTATGGCCACCAACGGCAAAATGACCGCCTAAAAAAAGGAAAGGTTGTATTGTTCCAACTCTGATAAGTCAATTCTTCTATGAGAGGCAGTTACAATTATTCCTTACCAACTTCACAACGTTGGCAAGAATTAACGGGAAAAGTTGGAGAGGTAACAGGATAGAAAGTCGCGGAAAAGAAGTTGAAATCATGTCTTCGGGATAGGTTTTATCTCATGCTAATAACGAACGCTGTTTTAAGATATTTTCTACATTCTCAAGAAAAGCCCATTCAAAATTCCAGACTGCGAAATCATTTCAGAGCGCTTCAAAATCTAAAACTCCGTGCACAATGTTGAATTGTTATGCCCTTGACCCGTATCTTAGAATAAATAGCTTACCACTAACCTACAGTCATTCATACATTATGCTACTTCTTTGATCAACACTTCAATTTCTTCTTTTGTTATAATGCATAACGCAGTGTCGCTATTGTTAAAACTTTTCTGAACGTTGTTCATTACGACCGAATTAAGTCGTTAGTCACGTGATGAATAGAGTTTAAAGAAGTCTCCTAACGCCTGGCGCAAAAATTCCTATTTGCGCACAGTGCGCAAAGTACACAGTTACACAAAGTCAGTCTTTGGGGAACGAATGAAGGGCGAGGTGACGAATGGAGCCAAAGACTCTTTCCTACGAGTCCCGTACATTACTTTTTAGACAGCCATTAGTCTTAAACAGCCTATCGCTTAAGGTGTCTGCGGGATGGCCTCTAGCTTTGCACTCTCAGACGTGAATGTAGAGCTTGTCCTTCCTCTCTTAATATGTTATTACTCTGTATGCATGTAAATTCAGTGGTAAGGTGGGAGAGCAGGTTTTATTGTCCTCGCCATTAGTACACACATTATTATTATTATTATTATTATTATTATTATTATTATTATTATTATTACAACTATTATTATTATTATTATTATTATTATTATTATTATTATTGTTATTACTAGTACCTCAGGGCCCAGCAAGACACCTGGACAGTAGATTCATGGCTATCCCTTATTTTAAACAAGAAGTCTGTACAACCCAAAACATATGTTACTATACAGCTGTTAATTTGAATTTAAAATGTATTTTTTTCTTTATTTGAAATTAATTTTTTTCTGGTCCCAATTAATTAGGGGCCTGGAACAAGTTGCCCCAGCTGACCCCTCATTCTGAGTATCTTTGGGGAAAGAGATTACTCTTAGAGCACGCAGAGAATGCTGAAAGTGCAACTTCTAGCGCCGGAGCTAAGGGCGAGAAGATTCAAAAATATTCAGACGAAACAGTTGAAATACAATAATGAAAACATTAATTTCGCCAGATCGCATCAGCTACTACTGATTATAGGGTAACAAAGTACATATTAAAGTGATGTATACTTGAATTAAAATAAAACGAATGTCAGCGAGACAAATTGACGCTTTCTAAAAATCTGAGAAGTCTAAATTTCAAGACTTCATTATTTATTATTTGGTATTAATTTCGTGAAAAAAACAAAACAAACAACAACAGTAAAACTGTATGTGACATTCTGTTATCATTTTCCACATCTCTATACAACAATTTAAAACATGTTGAGTCTTTGCATTCAATTTCTCCCCCCGAAGTCAAGGTATCGGTTTCAAATTCAAGGGTCAGTCAGATCGATCAATGAACATCAATTTGAGTGTGAATTTTTCCCTACAGTTTAACTGGAAGCTTTGAACAGACACATAGACATGGTCAGGCTGACGTTTTGCCGTAATTCAATTTTTCCGTATCAAAAACAGACAAAACGTGAATTCTGTCTACACTTATGAGAGAAAGTATTCCACTAAATACAGGAACAGAAATATCCAGTATTTCGATATCTGTGGCCTGCAACACAAAATTTTAGTTTGTGCTAATTTTCTCTCTCTTTAGTCAGAGCTAACTTTTCGGTTTAGCTTCAACCTCTTTTAAGTACCCAATTATTGGCGCCTAAAAGATATTTGTTCACGTTTTCTCAATTATACAGTTCCTTAATGGGAGAATTCAAGTATGACTCTAAAATCATTATAGGAGTGTGCATTTTCTTACTATATGCAAATTTTAATGGAAAAATTTGAAATCGTTTCGAAGAAAATTAAGTTTATAGTTTCTGAAAATGCACAATCGTAATCTCATGTTCACAAACAATTTTGAAAGGAGAAGTCATAAATATCCTTTTCCTCTGAACTTCTGAACATTTGAAATATATTATTATTTTGTATTAAACAACCTTTCCTGTACCGTGTGTGGCAATAATCGTTACACATTTTATAAGTACTTTTTTGTTGTTGTTTTTTTCTAATAAATTTCATTGTGTATAAATCATGTGACGTTGGCAGAGGACCTAGCAAAAGATATTCAATAGGTATGAAATTATTGAGATGGACATTGAACTACTGAATACAAGAGTAATTTAGAGCTGCCCCACCACCACATTCTGTGAACCTACTTTTAGATTACCCCACACTTCATAAAAAAACACAACGTAAGTAACTCTAAATACTGCAATGAATTTGTTAAACACGTAATCAGTAACTTACCTGCACACGTATTGAGTTTAAATCCAGTGGAGTCACGATGGTAAATCTGGAAATTGTAGATTCAAGTTTCTTCCTCCACTTGCCCAGGACGTACACTTTGACAGTGTATCGCACATGTCCGTACGAAGCATCTTCGAAAGAAGATGGCAAGGACCTCGGTAACACGAACGAGAATGGATAGAAATGGCTTCCTCTGAACAGGACCTGGCGTGTGTCTGAAAGCGAAACACGACATTACGTACGGTTTCCAACAACTCTCATGTAAAAGGCACTCAATAAGAAGAAGAACAAGGAAAGGAAACACAAACAGCACTAACTTACTTCTTTAATAGATATTTAATTTAGACTAACATTAACTCTATCTCGTTCTTTCTTCTCTCTATTTAAGGTTCACAATATGCGTTCACAAAATTCAGATGAAGATGGTCAGAAAGTCTCTTTTTTGTATTAGTTGGTAAACAGATACACCATCATGAAGCGTGTGTGAGCGTTCAAGAAAAGAATATTAATGTTTTCTATTCTAAATTAGCAATAAACGATAGAATGAAGCAGATGTTAGTCATATGATAAAATAAATGACAAATTATAAAAATGTACTAAAAGGCTGACATTTAAAATAAAAAGGATGACGAGAGGACAATAATTGTTGACTTCAATTGACTTCAAGGGAGGACTATCCTCCCTAATGGACGACTGTTGGCAACTCTACAATTAGCTAAGCAGCGTATTTTTAACGTTTACCCTCATAGCCCAAGATGCAAAGACGCGGGTGATCTGCTCTGGCGAACCGATTTTTGCTCGTTCTGCGAAGCACCAGATTCGTCACGAACCTCATGACTACAACTCCGGGCACTTCGTATGGAAAGTCAGGCCAGACGTTGGCTGCGATGCTACATGCCAAGCGAGAAGTGTTGAGAAACATTTTGGAAGTGTCATAAAGTGTTAATTTTCAACGGTGACCACCGAAAATATCACGAAGTTGAAATAAAAAGTGCAGTATTTAAAAATAAATGTTTCATATGTCTGATCAATGACTGGCAACAAGGTGATAATTTTGGATGCATTTAAAATTACCGCTAATGTTGTGATGCAAACCGGTGCCTAAAGTGCATTGGCTGAAGCCAGATAGGCTACACAGTGGCTCACCCATATTTTTGCATTGTGGTAGAAACCCACAAAGACGAAATTGCTAAGGTGGAGTAACCTTAGAAATATCGGTTCGATACTTTTCAATCCCATCTTTATCATGTACGTTTGATTCGTACGTGCCTTGGCATAGTGCAAACCACCGCGCACCTTATAACAAAATAACCTCGCCTTCCCCCTCCCAAACGAATGTGCTTGAACGGCCGTATAAAATGGTCAGCGGAGACGTTTTATTAATTAATATGATTATTATTATTATTATTATAGAATATTTTATTGTGTTTAAAACTAATATTTAGAGAGCCAAAACACGAATTGATAAAATAAAATTTAAAAGAACATGACAATTTTGAAAATAAAGAAAACAATAAATTAGATAATGAATAATAAAATATGAACAAAACGAAAAAAATATGTTTGCATATAAAATGTAAGTAACGACGATATAAAATTATTTTTTGTTAATGTTCAAAATAAAATTTACAATAATTGGAATAATAGTTTTGTCTAAAAGCGGTAGGAATGAACAAATAGAAAAAGGACCATACTTGTTGTTCAGGTTGCGCAAATTTAATATTTCTTTCCCTTCATTATCAAAAAAGGGAACAGGTGGAGAATCTGCTACGTGTGCTCTATCTGTCGGCCACCGTACTAACTATGCAAGGTTCCAAACAGCGCGCGTGATCAGGGCCACGCCAACATTACTACAGGCGGTGCACCTCAAAAGGGCGGCAAAAATGTGGTTTTTTTTTAATATCTGCATAATTTTTGTATTTTTTGTTTTCGTTATCTGTATTGTTTTTACATTTAAATGAAAAAAAGTTGTCTGTTCAATTCACAATTTTAAAAACCTCTTATAGTGTTAAATTATGGGTCGAAAAAATAAATACTTGCAATACGTAAGCATAAGTAATACAATTTTTGGGGATTTCATAAATTTTGAATAGTATAATATCCGTTACTTTCATCACTTACGCGACAATTGAAGTCGCCGCCAGACTCTGATTATATCAACCTTTAGTAGGTCCACGACGTTTTTTTTACAAGATTTCACATTCGGATATTTGAAACACGATGCTTAACTACGGTCAGTTATATGAAAAATAAAATGTAATAAAGCACTGTCTTAACTCAGTAGAATCAAAGATAGACGGAATATAACAGGCTGTGGTCATAGAACTTTTCTTACAACATAAACACTGTTCTACCACCGTCGTACTCGTAAACGTCTTTGATTGTCATAAGACGTAGTGAAACTTAAATTGACCGGTGAAATTTGATATGATTCGTAAATTACCGTGGGACGGCTTATGAGGGGCTGTAAATGTAAAACTTGTGATAATTAAATTGATGGTGTAAGCCTCGATGGCGTTAGAGTTAACAATCTCAAAGATGACTAAAACAAGATGAAAAAGAAAAGAAAAATATATCCAAAATATTAAAGGGCAAAAACAAATGAATCAAATAAACCAAAAACGAATGGCTTAAAAAATATTTTTACACTTTTAAAAACATTTCTTAGTAGACACTTGTACAAAAGAACAAGTTGCATCAACCAGAATCATTTATGTTCATTAGAAGCCAATCACTACCATCGATGCCTCACTTAATGCCTTATTTTACACGATCATTGAAAATAGAAGTAATTTTGAGTAAAACCATTCAATCAAATACTGAATCTGACGAACATCAATGCAATAACACAATTTGTAAAGAATATATTCAATATCGTTTAAAAAATATTTTTGAAAATAGTTCTAATATACAACTCGATGCTTATTTAAATTGCTTCCACTCTGTGTAAAGAAGGAAAGTCGTATTTTTTCTGAACTTTCATCACACAAAAATATAGGGTCTTACGGTCCTAAAACATCAAATAAAATCACAATGGTTTCGGTTATATCATTTTCTCACTAACTTGAATTTTCAATTTACACAACCGGAAACTTTTGCATTAATAAAAGTACTAACCCTGTAGGAGATTCTTCTCTAAGAAATACAACTCACGAGTCCTTCCTTCACCACCAACATGAACTTGGGTTTCACCTCGAAATTCAACTGCAATTCCTGGAACAAAATGCAAGGAATTTTTTTAACAGACATAAATAAAATCAAACATAATGTCTTGAGTGTAAAAATTATTAAAATTCCGTTGACAAAGAAAATTTAAGTCCAAACACTACTTTACATCTACCGAATTCTTGCAAATGCAAATTTCTTCCGTATGAAATTTAAAAAAAAATATTCAAAGGGCCAGCTGATTATAAATTATATTTTTCTGTTGCGATCTGTTCACAGGCTAGGCCGTGTTATATTGAATTATCATTCATTTTTAAATATACATCAAAACTAATTTTAATTCCTTTCACTTTTCGAGATATTACAAACAATACTATTGAGCTAGCAAGTCAGTTTATGAAATGTTACAATCGTTTATGAAACAGAACTAGATGACAATTTTGTTGTGATACTAATATCTGAATTTTCACCATAACAAAATAATACATACAATTTTAATGCGTTGTTACGTAGTTCAAATCTTACCTGCGAGTGACCGCTTAAGGAAAATTGCGTGAGTATTGTCGGATCAAGGTAGTTAAGACGGTTTAAGTAGTTGAAAGAGATGAGTAAACTTTAATGTAAAATTCTAGTGTAAATTTAAATTACGAGATATAGCTAAACGAATTTGCATAGGCAATCCCATTTTAGAAGTCTCAATCACAGTTTTTTATGGAATAATTTTCAAAAGGCAGTTGAAGCGACTGACTCAGTAAATGTCAAGTGTTATTTACTTGTTTTCTATTCTTTTCAGGATTGGAGAAATCCCCATTTTGTCATAATTTCGCAATTGTTTTCTTCACAGGCGATCACTAACCAACGTTTATCCCTGCTAAGATCCCTGCGCCTTTCAGGTTCATTAAATTTAAATTTATGGTTATTGTGGCGAAGAACCATAACAACGTATAATTGTGGTTATGCTGTACAAATCATATTGTATCAGGACTTTTTCTTTAGATACTATATACAACCACGTAAACCAAAAAGTTTGTACCACACACTATTTGTCGATGATTCGCTTTCAATGTAACTAACATTCAACGCAATGATGTGGACTAACATTCAACGCAAAACGAAAGAAAAGCGCGGTTCCGAAGTCAACCTAACCTATATTAGGTATTAAAAAGTTGTGAAAATAAATAATCAAGCGAGAGACTAACTTTATTAGTAAACATTGTTTTTCTAGAGCAACTATTCAGTACAAATAATTATTTAAATGTTCCTTTCACATTTACAAGTAGCTATTGTTAATCTGTAGGAGTAATAATTGGTCGAGTGTTTGATCAACGACTGGCACGACCATATTACTCGGGCAACTTTTCTTGAACGATGGATTAACGATTTCGGGTGGAGTGGGGGTATTCGTTACAAAGTCGGCCACTAGAGTATTTTAAGTAATGCCAACGTCTGTGAAATGAAAGTCAAAACTGCATCTTGTGCTTAACTTTTTCGGGAGTTTTAGGTGACTAGAAGGACCTGGATCTGACTCAGCTATTTATTTCGATATTGACAATAAACATGAACAGGGGTTCTGCACTATGAAAGCAACTGGCTTTGACTAGCTTCTATTTCGCGCCAACGAAGTTTTAATGCTTGGAAGGTTGTCATCAGTGTCCGCTGCGAGCTTTTGCCTTCATCTGTTTATTGCACAAGGGAGGGGGATCAAGGTCATCGTTCAAGAAACGTTGCGCGAGTAATACCAGCTTCAATTGCATAGGCTCACCGTAGATCTTCTTCTCCTTGACGACATCGACGGCCGCGTGCCCGGTGACTTCCTGGCCGCCGATGTAGGTGGCCGAGGGGTTGTCGAAGATGATGAGGATGCCCAGGGTCATGTCGCCGCCGCATCTTCACCGCTAGCGAGCATCGGCGGTCGCCCTGCGGCTGCTCCTGAGTCACACGCGCGCGCACACAGCCGGTTAGCACTTGGGCGATCTACGAGACTATGAGTTAGTATTGTCGGGAGGCGAAGAGACCGACAATCTCGAGAGTCATCGAGGGGGGTCTTCTCGAGAGTCTGCGAGATCGGCTATCTCGAGTGTCAAAAAATTATTTTTTCACCTAATTCACTAATTTTTTAATCTGCATATTTTTACTTAATAATGCATTGACATGAATATCAAATCTTATTTGTGACTTAAGCAATGTCAGAAACATTGTTGTCCTGTAAAAGTATAAGGAAATTGCCATTCAAAGCAAAAATGTTACATTTTTCAATTTGTTTTGTGTTTATTTGTGTTAAAAATATTTCAATTTATTCTTAGGATAAGATTTCAGATACTGTAAATGTATCTGCATAAAAAGTTACAAAATAAAATATTAATGAGTCTCCTTGCAAGTCGTTTTTAAACCCCTGTAAAATTCTGAAAATGTAAGATGTACCTTTTCTGCATTGGGCGATTCAAATGTATTTCACAAGAAACATATCCTATTAAATGACTTTCAATTTTACTAACAAAAAGAAAACACTTAAAACATGATCCAATATATTGCATACGAGATATCAATCTACGTCTGAAAATGTTCCAGGTTTGATCGTATTCTTGACTCCTTCTAAGGTATTTGATACAATTAACCAACAAATATTGCTATAGGAACTATTCAAAAGAGTTTTACAGGCATTTCTTGTATTCTTATTAAAAGCTGCCTGACGGAACAAAGAGGTCAGCGTAATCCAAACGTAGGCTACTACTTCTTTCTTCGTTCTTCGTTCTGTGTTTTTCGTTTACTTTTCCCCGGGTGATAAATCCCCGTATTGGACACCTAGGCATTTATTCCTTTATCCTCACTCTCCGCGGCCAACACGCACACTTTGGGGTTTTGGTATTACTCGCGCAACTTTTCTTGAACGATGGATTGAATAAATGTGGGTAGAGTGGGGGTATTAGTTACGAAATCACCACCAGATTTTATGAAGCAATGCCAATCTCTGGAGAATCAGTCATGCCTTCGCAATAATTCTTAATAATTTGCAATCTATCTTTCTGAGGAGTTCGAGGTATCTCCTGTGATAGATCTTCTGCTTTGGTGATTTCTTTAGATTTTTGGCAAAAATAACGGATAGAAGTTCTCGCCTTCAAAAGAAAATTGTTTCTATTTCGCGTCAGTGAAGATGTGTGTGGATTGTTGTCATCAGTACTCGCTGCGAGCTTTTGCCCTCAACTGTTTATTGCACCAGAGAGAGGGAAGCAAGGTCATCGTTCAAGAAAAGTTGCGCGAGTAATACCTCTATTCCGCCGGAACGCAGTTATCCATGTCGGGAATCTACACATTCAATGCTTGGGTCGGGCCGCCTTGCAAGCTCAGAGCTACTGGCTTTCCAGAGTAGAACCGGAGTTTCGACAATGCGTCACTCACATGCACCGAGAACAAGAACCTTCTCTTTACTCAGAATATCGGACCACGTCGAAGCAAAGTGTCCAACTGGCGGACACCGGGGATTTTAAGGCCCGAGGGGCTGCCCCCCACCCACAAGTGGTCAGGGAAAATTATGTTATAAGACTAAACCGTAACCTGCAGTATTAATTCATGGGAACTAATTTAATTTGCAGTTTAAACAGCATTAATAATAAAATGTAAAATTTAATCTAAACTCTTCAATCCACAGGAACAACATAAAATATAAAACTGATAACTTCATGTTAAAAGGGAAATTAATTTAGGTTTAAATTAACACACTTTTGAAACTAACTGTAGTTTAGTAAATAACATCCTCAGGAGTAGTGAAATTAAAATTCACAGAAACACGCGATATGAAAAGGATTTTAATTGATCTAATATTAACCAAGGAAGTGTTGCAAAATATTTCTTGAGGTGTACATTGATTACAAATTTAAATTGCCTTACCAAGTTACAACATTTTCATACTTGATTTTTGTCTTTAAAAAGAGTTTTGTTTTAAGATATGAACAACTGATGGCAATATCAGTACAATATTACTGTACATATTGATTTTGTAATTTCCCAATTCTTAGTTCAAGAGTAAATGAGAATTGAAGCTACCAAACAACTTTGTTTGGCTTACCAATCAGAAAACTTATTAAAATATTTATGCCAGTCTTGTCGTGCCTTGTGGTTTTATCAATAATCACAAACTAATTCACTAACCATAAGTAATTTAAACAAATGTATTACTCAAAATTTGTTATGAAGAATACATTACGTAAATTGTTCCTATTAGTAATTCAAATAACGCCTCCTCACATACGCTTCGTATTGATATCTACGTACATGCCTCGCGCTACACAAGGGTGCTCGGCCATTTTGCTCCATAATTCATCGACGACTATGATTTGTTAATATGCATCGCGTGCTTGCTGAACTGAAGTTTCGAAAGAGACTGAAGGGCAGGCTGCCTCCTTATTTTCTTCGAAATTTACCATAAAAAGAATTAGGTCGCGTGGTAGATAACGAACGGATCGGTGGTCGCTCTGTGGTCCTGAATGCCCAACATTATGGCCAAAATGCGATAAAAATACATCCTAAATAACAGGGGTTTTGGATGTCAATGATTTCGAATGAAGTAATTTAATTAAAAACACATTTTTTATACCAGCAAGTAAATTTGTTCGACGGCCAAACGTCTGAACGTGTGTCTGTCCTATGCGTCCTGTAGCATTTATAGCGTGTCATTCAAAACATTTAATACTTTCCGTACACAATGTTCCATAAACATCTGGAGCAGTTTTTGGGAAAATCTTGTGTATAAATTTGCTTCAAATTCCATTCAAAATTTGAATAGAAAATTGAATGAGCTCGATAATTACTAATAAAGTCAAAAAATGTGTATGAAATTATTTGATGAACTAAATGGGGACAACAAAGTTTGTTTGAAGAACAACATATCTTCACTATTGTAGTTGTAAAAAGGCCGCGAAAAATGATTTAACTTTCGCACCTTTCTAAAATTAAAAGATTTTAACGGAAAGACACAGGAGGCGTTTTCCAAAATATATCATGATTTTAGCCATACATACTATGTACATTATTTCGCTACTTCATATTGCATATAAATCCCAGCTCTACTTTATATTATCTTCTTTCCTGGACACATCACCATGCAGGTGGTTTTACTTTCTCTTCTTGCCTGGTAGACAGCGTTAGAGGAGTTGGCGAAAGTAAAATATGAGAAAAGATAGTCGTTGATTGATTGATTGATTGATTGATTGCTAGTGATTCCGGCGGGTCAACTACTGAGGTCATTAGTCCCGTAAGTGTATGTGTCATGCTTTTTTCCCTTGGGTGGAGGCGGTGATCTTCTCCTGATGAGTGGCGAGATCAGGCACCGACCTACAGTCGGCTGGTGGGGTTTTCCTTAACCAGGTATCTCCCAGGATGAAAAAAGGCTGGTGAAAATAAAGATTATGAATGAGATGCTTCATCCATTTCGTCCTAAGACGGTACTCTAATTAGTTGCACTGGAGCCTAGGCCAGTATTTTGAGCCCTGGACGCTCCGAACCATCTCCTGGGGCGGGGAGCAAAAAGACGCCTTGCGTCTTCATTGATTAGTTTTTCTGGGCGCGTCAACTGATGTCATTAGACCCCTAAGTGTAGTGCATGTTTCATCGCGGGAGGTGACGGTGAACTTTCCCCGCTGAATGACGAGATCAGGCGCCGACTGACAATCCTACTTGCTGGCATTTCCCCTACCACGTATCTCCCACCAGCGAGGTACCGCCCAGCCGGGAGAAGCTCAAAGCTCCTGACTGCTTTCCCATACTGTGGTAATGTAGATTATATTGTGTGTGTGTGTGTGTGTAAGTAAGGGGTGAGGATAGGACATGAAAAAGAAAGGAATGATCGCGTGCATTCCGTGGCCCGTGTGCTAGGGCAGCTGTCCGGCATTCACTTGGTATTGATCGGAGAAACCACAGAAAACTACCGATCAGAACAGCCGGCGACCAGAATTATCCTCCAAATAGAGCTTGCACTCGACCTAGCTCTCTAGCTAGTGACGAAAATTATGCCTCCGACGGGACTCGAAGCCTAGGATTTCCCGGTAAGAGGCACTGCAGTGATATCAATTGATACTGTGGGCAACGTAAGCCAGTTCTTACGTCTTGAGTTAGGGGAGTGTGTTCAAAGTTCGGGGAGTGTATGTGTGTGTGTGTGTGTGTTGGAAATTCAGTAGGTGTGTTGAACATCACTTCGTTTGTGGAGATTGCCGGAATCCTCGAATTCCTAGGTCGACTGATCTCCTCAGTGGTTTGCGTCGTTTCCCTGTTACCTTCCAGAGAAATACCGAAGTGGCACTTGAGAACACGGTCCTTATAATAATAATAATAATAATAATAATAATAATAATAATAATAATAATAATAATAATTCGTGGCACTTGTCTGTGTGGGCTGGTATTACACTGGAAGCCGCGCCCACAGGGTATGTCGTCCATTCCCGACAGTAATTGATGAATGCTTTTACGCATATTTCGCTGTACTACATACGGTGTGACAGGGTGCAGTCCGGTCGCCACAACTCTAGAGTAGGGTTACCTCATATCCTCTTTTCCCTGTCATGTCCTGCTATATAGTCTGAATAAAGTATATGGTTAGGTTGAGGCAAAATACAAAATACCGGTTTTTTTCACTTCATGACATTTTAAACGAAAGAAAATTACCGAGTTTTGGTTAGCTATCCTTAGTCATGATATTAATAAAGAAAGAATCTTCTGTCACAACGAACAAAGGAAAGAAATATACTCAAAATTGAAATCCGTACAAGTTGTAGTTTGAGAACAGTAAAATTTCCAACAATTTAATAGCAGCTTTCTAAGAGTAAAAATATTTTGTAAGATACCAAAAGCTCTTGAGTAAGATTTTTTGATTCACTAAATATTCACGGAATAAATTAAAAGCTGATTGTACTAAATGTGATTATTTCAATGATGATT